TTGAATATCTTGTGGGTTGCTTTGGATTCAGTAGCTTATCTCCAGCCCCCACAGATACCTCAATTTCCCAGCAGCTTCCATTGTAAAGGGAATCAATCATTTTTTTTTTTTTTTTTTTTTTTTTTCTGCAGTGCAATCTCAGTCATTCAGGTATCTCATTAAGATACTTATCTTTAAGCCACAGTTTTAGTTATTCAACTCTTTGTCAGGTCTGCACTGATTGTTGTAGCTTTATAACAGTCATACTCTGCAGAATGACACTGAGGCCAGTTATGGACTTCATACACAGAGGTGGCCACAACATATTGCCAAAGTCTGGAGGCTGTGCTGTCCAAATTTTTGTAAGTATGTAATAAAGTGAGGGAATCATCTGAAGATTTCTTTCTCAGTATGTATCCTCATCAAGGGAGGTATGACTGTGTATATACATACATATGTTACAATTAGTAATAGATAATACATAACTTACAAATTTACCAGAGCATTTTCAATTTCATTATTCTATATTTTATCATTTTTATTAATCTTTTAAAAGAACCAACATTTAGCATTGCTGATATTCTCAATGGTATGTTCATTTTCAATATCTTTAAATTTTGCTTTTGCTTTTTTATGTTTTCAAATTTTAAATTTTAATGTTGAGTTTTGAACATATTAAAAAAACTGCTGTAAGAATTTGAGTGTACCCATTGCTCCTTCACAATAATTCTACCTTAATGAATTCTGTTCCACCGACATTTTCATTTATTCTCATTCTGTATTTTCAAGGCAGTTGACAGCTGTCACGTCAATTAATGTATAAAAATTTTACGATACAGCCCAAAAGACAAAGAGTTATTTTCTAAAAATATTTTCAAAAATTATTTTCATATCTACATAATGATTTCTTTATTTTTAAAAGAGAATAAAAAACGGTAAAAAAACAAAAAAGATACAGAATTCCCCTAAACAAAATAATAGGAATTACACAATGGTTGTTATATTCCACAATGTTGTGCTATATAGATTACAGATATAAGCATGTAAGAAATTAAAAAGTAGAAGAAATAAACAGCATTAACTGCTCATTTCAGTAGGCCAGCAGAGATCAGCAGTACAGTTATTCAAGCTATCCTGTCTGTATATATAAATATATCTTTTCCCCTTCTTTCTTACTTTTGTCCTTTTCCTTATTTACTTTTTTTTTTTTGAAGATCAGCTTTTTCTGAACTATTGAAACAGATATTTAGCTAGTGAATTCTTAATCTGTTTTATTTTACCTTTTTAAAATTGTTGTCTTTTAACTTCATCTTTTGGTACACCCAACCTTTTTCTTTTTTACATATTTATTGAGGTATAACAACATAATCTGCATATAATTAAGGTATACCTTTTTATCTTGTGTACATCAGTGAAACTACAGTCTACATAATTAGCATATTCAGTACAAAAGTTTTTCCTGGTGCCCTTTTATAATCTCTCCTGCTTTTCCACATCACATTTATTTAATGAGTTTGATTTCACTGAGCAAAACCAAAAGAGGACAGGCGTCAGTGTTGTAAAGGTCAATAAATTATCACAGGGAATACATCATACAGCTATGACCTGTATATAAAACATAGAACATTATCAGTGTCCAGCAAACTCCTTCATGCCCTATTTGTATTAATACACTATCTGTTCTCCCTAGTGATATCTATTTTTTGGTTCCAACTTATATTTAGAGCATTCTTGTAGAATTTATGGTGTATTTGTGTTCTGATTAAGAGTAGAATTGCTGCAGGCCTCCCCATGAGCTCAGTTGTTAGTGCCTGCTTAAGCAAAGCAGTGAGGCTCAGGATTCTGTGGTTCAATCCCCAGATCCTCATGTCTTACCAGACCTGCCCTTAAGGCATCCTGAGCCACCCGCCCCCCAAAAAAAAAATCCATCCCAAGAGTAGAATTGCTGATTCATATAGAATGCCCAAGAAATTACTACCAAACCATTTTCCAGAGTAGGTCTGTCAATTTATACTGCTGTTGTAAGTGTCTGACAATTCCAGTCATTTCTTTTTTTTTCTTCTTCTTCTTCTTTTTTTTTTTTTGGTTTCTAAATATTTTATTTTATTTTTTTATCGAGAAATAAATATGAATGAGACAGTTTCACAGCTGATTAAAAGGACAGTTTTGATAATCAATACATTGTACATTGTTATCTTCTTAGTGGTTATCCATAGTACACTAAGCAGACAGGATATTCTGTCCAAAGACTGTTAGTACACCTCTTTCTTCTCATTGAATTAAGGGAAAGTAGCTGTAAATTTATCCTATTTTGTATATATAAATACAAAATGATCTTTCCTTTGTATCCTTTTTCTTTTTGTCCTGTATGGTTTTAAAAATCTAATTAAGAGCACTTTTAAAATAAGTCATGAAACTTTCCTTGAAAATTAATTTTTGCTTCTAAATCTATGAATACTTTTATGTAATATGTTGTTGTTTTGTTTTTGTGGTATTAGGGATTGAACTTGGGACCTTGTACATGGCAGGCAGGTGCTTTAGCCACTGAGCTATATTCCCAGCCCTCTTTTATGTATATGTATGGACCAAGTTTTACTGTCTTTTAAAAAAAAATATTAATTTGACCCAACAACATTGGTTGAAAAATTGATATTGATGTAAGAAAGCAAAAAACACCTAGTACAGTATTCTTACAATACCTACGATGTCAGGCAATATGATTTAAAAAATAATTTAAAAAATTTAGAAGTACAGCACTACACCTTAATGTGTGCCAAGTTTCATTGAGCTGTGTGCATTCATTTCACAAGCTGTGGTTGGGAGGTGTGTTTTAAAGTGTGCTACAGGGGATCACGAACAGTACATGATCCAACGCAGTAAGACAGATCTTCAGCTCCATCC